ATATATATATATATATATATATATATATATATATATACTTTTTAAATAAACAATATAATATATTTTGAATTCATCATAAAAATCTTCTAATTTACAAAATCACTTCCTTGCAATTTATCAACTAGATGAACTTTTAAAAACTAATGGGTTCTTTACAAACACTTAACAATAAGGGGTGGTTTACCAAACGCGAGCGATGATTCTTATCATGGTTAGCGCTTACCCGGGTATATTGTTGTATTTGATACCATTTTAGTGGATTAAAATCTTACCCGTAAGTAAGTGATGATGTTGAATTTTACCAGTAAGCACTTACCCAGATAAACGTTTGGTAAACGGAAGCTAAGCGTTTACTTGTAAATGCTATAATGTTAACCTACTTTATAGGGTAATATTATCGGTCATTAAAATGAATTGTTTGTAAGCATTTTTTACTTGTTAAAGTTGATCAGGTCATTTTCTTCTTCCGAATAAGATTCTCATTCTTTTACCAAGTAAGATTTTTGGTCTTTATCATACTCATGTAGTAAAGTAACTGACACACAAGGGCAACATACCAAACGCTTTATCGGAAAAGTGCTTACTAGCAAGACCACCATCCCCACTTACCTTATAATCTACCTTTCTTGTCCATCAAAGTGGAATGTTGGGCAGGTCTTTTACCCGATAATCACTTACTGGATAAGAGTATCTCTCTCACTTACCGAGTAAGATTCTTGGTCCTTGCTCTACCTCTTACCATGTAAGATTCCATCTCTTTGTCACACTCAGCCAGAAGGTAACTGCCTCCCGATAAGCATTAGGTAAATGACCCCTCAATAAAATGTAAGCGTATGATAAACAACCCTGTTTGGTTGTTTTTTCTATTAAATCATGTATAGATAAAATTATCTCTATAGATTGAGAAAGTTTTTGTAGGTAAGTTTTTTTTAATATATGGAAATAACATGTTTTTTTAACCGGATATGACAATTCTGGAAAAAAAACTTGGCTTTCTACATAAACATCCTCCCTATAAGCTTTCCGAATAAGTCATTTTTTATGTCATTAAGCAGTCATATATAATTAACTCATTAAACCTATTAAGCTGCTAACAAACAGTCCCAAAATTAAACGATATCCGGAAGAATTTGATGATAAACTTGGGGTGTATTGCGTATTCGCGAAGGGAATAACACAAAGCTCGTAACCAAACACCCAGATGATACCCTTTTCCCCTGCTATATATAACCCTTCACACCCAACTGGTGTTTTTCTTCTATCAGATATTCGTCCTCATCCAACAGATTGATTTTTATTCGTAGACTAATCGGAGAAACAACCATGTCAGGAGGTCCGATTGCACAAGATTGGGAGCCGGTGGTCATCCGTAAGAAAGCTCCAACCTCCGCCGCTCGGAAGGACGAGAAAGCTGTCAACGCTGCCCGTCGTGCCGGTGCCGAGATCGAGACTGTACGAAAGGGTTAGTTTCTCATTTGTTTCTCTTTTTCTTCATATGTACATGTCTGCGGTTGTATCTTCGTTTTTTTTTTTTTTTTCATTTCTATTCGTTTAGGAATTCGGTTTTTACAAATTTGTTCCATGAATTTATCGCTTCATTTGGTTAGGGGAGATGAAGATTATGTATGTTTATATGTTTAATTTGTACGTGTTTATTATTTGTCGTTGTGTGGAGGTAGGGTTTTGGTTTTCACTCGGTTTTTTGGATGTATTTTTGTTCATTTACTGGTTTTACAGGTGAATATGGATGTTTTATTTGATATTCCTTCATGGATTCGTACCTATGGAGTCGGATTTCTTCGTTTGTTAGATAAATTACATGTTCTATTCATGTAACTCAGTATCATCTCTTTCGACTTAGTTTAGGGTTTAACTCTCACATAGGTACATCCCTATGGTCTATGTGTAGTAATACTGTTGGAAAAATAATTTTAGGGCTACGGGCTTCTGAAATTTTGTAACGAATCATCAATTGCTTCTTAAGCAAATTAACTGAAGTTGCTTTGTCTTGCATAAAATGGTAAATGATGATGCTAGAGAAATCGGGAAGCCTGTTTGTTATCATATTTCTAATTTTTGAAGTGTGTATCAACATGAGTCATGCGATTTCCTCATTTATGTGTTCATTGTTTTGAGAGTTCCCCATTTAGGTATTTTGTTTTATATTGGTTTTCTCAAACCATCTTGAGGTTCTCCAAAAGATTGTAATATAAGAGGTATGTATGCAGTACGTATATTAATATATATGTTGAAGTAGATGATATTTATATACGGAAAATGCAACAAAAGAACCCACACACCTTCCTCACCAAAGGTGAGGTTTGAACCCGACCTCCTGGGAGGCCAAAGGTCCGGATACTGCTAGATCAGAGGCCCTTTGGTACTGTACTTGGTATATTCCGCCCAAAATCCCGCCCAGGAGTAGAGTCTGGATGTAGGATGTACACAAACCTTTTCCCTATGATTTATACGGATCTCAAAGCCCAGGAAACTTTTTGGGTATGAGGACTAAAAGGATTAGTTAACGAGGCCTGCTAACAATTGCTTTTGGTAGTTGTTTCTTTCACAGTTGATTTTCTGAGGAATTAGTATACATGATACATCTAATTCATAACAAAATCTTGAAAGAGGTGCACATCTTGTTCTTGGTTCTAATGCCTTTTTTAGCTATGATTCTTATTAAGAACCAACTTAGGTATCATATTCATAGAACCCTTTTTGTATGTATGGCTTTTTAATTTTTCATTTTGACATATTTTAGCGTATATTGAACCTCTTTCAGGAGTCTGGCCTTCAGTTTGGTTATAAATTGATGGAATGTTTGTGATCTGGACTTTTTTTTCCTTCTTTTGCAGCTACTGCTGGTTCAAACAAGGCCGCCTCAAGCAGTACTTCACTGAACACTAGAAAGCTTGATGAAGAGACTGAAAATCTCTCCCGTGAGTCATCTTAATACCTTCCTTGTTCCTTTTTATCCTTATTTTTCTTATCTTCTCTTAGGAATCACATTTATTTTATCTGTGCAAAAAATGCCTTATTTTGTTGATGCGGCTCTTTTTCAATCTTCTTGTTTTAGAAGTTCTGGTTATACTTACTGGATGTGTTGTCGCCAGTCTACTACACAATTACTTTTTCCAACCAAACACCACACTAACTTAATATGGAAATTTGAGAAAGGGTGAGACCGTGTAATTACTTTATGGCCTTCATCCATGGTATAACATATTTTTCTGGGTGCGGGTGCTGCTAGTGTGAACTTGGTCTTGGGTAACTCTTGTTTTCCTTTCTTTTTCATGGGTATGGAACAGAGCCCGGGGGGTATGAATTGAAGTATTAGCTTTGAGGACCTGTTTGTTCTGAGGATGGGTCCAAAGAGAGAACACTAATAAAAGAAAACAAGATAACCCTTCTGAACCATCCATCTATTTTAATCCAATGCATGTGAATAATGGGTGCTGTTATATTTTGCCAAAACTAAAACCATGATTGTAGGGGCGGTTACATTGGAATCTGAGCCATTTACCATTTACATCTAACAGTTGATCGGGGCTCCGCTCTTATTTTTGTTGTGTTTTCTCTTGAACCTCCCTCGTCTTCAGTCTTGTACATCAATTGTTTGGCGAGCTCTATTTTCTTTTCTCTAATGAATTGTGTGTCTTACCCTTGACTGAAACCGTTTTTGATCAAATTCTGTAAACAGATGAAAAGGTCCCAAGTGAGTTGAAGAAAGCTATCATGCAGGGTCGTACTGATAAGAAGCTTACACAGGCTCAACTTGCTCAGGTTTGCTTCTCTGTTTCTGTAGTGCTCGATAGATTTATGGGAAATTGACCAAAATAGCCAATCTCCCCAACCAACTTTTCACTTTTTAGCCACTTTTTCAATTGAATTCTCATTTTAGCCGGTGTGTAAACTCGATTTTCAGATTTAAAAAAAGAACAAAGATCTTTTTGCGTGAAGATTCAGATTTTTGCGTAAGGATTCAAATTTTTGCTTAAAGAATCTTTACGCATATGCGCAAGGACGACTTTTCTTTTTCCAGAAATCAGTCTTTACACAAATGCTTGTAAAAACAGGCTATTTTGGGAGGCTCTGAAAGTTGGCTAAAAGGTGAATTTGGCTGATGAGATTGGCTATTTCAGTCAATTCCCTAGATTTATGCTTATTGTTTTCAGATCCTGATGTCTTTTTCACGGAAACAACCGTTCTACTCTTTGGGGTAAGAGGCGAGGTCCACGTAAATCTCACCCTTCCTAGGGGTTGGGTTCCGGTGAGAAGGGATCTCCACCCTTGGATCAATCAATCAAGCATAATTGAAGATCAACACTAATGCGGTGCACCGAGATGTACTAGATCAATTCCGTTGATAAACCCAATTCATGGAGTGGGGGTGAGATTAAAAGTGATCAGGGTCTAGATCCCTTCTTACCTTTAAGTCATATTCTCACACGAACCTTCGTCCCCCTCCTAGACCCAACTTTCAAGTGGGATTTTGTGGGTCGGTTCTGATGTTATATTGTGATTGTGCAGCTGATTAACGAGAAGCCCCAGATTATACAGGAGTATGAATCTGGGAAGGCTATACCAAATCAACAGATAATCACCAAACTGGAAAGGGCACTCGGTGTGAAACTTCGGGGTAAGAAATAGAACAACCGAACATTAAGAGTTGGCCTTTTTAACCAAAAACAGAGAGACGCGAAGATCTTTTGTTCATCTGGTTTGACCACTTTTATCACTGTGGGATTTTATGCTTAAGAAGTCTCAAAAGGCTGTGATGTGTTTATCATAAAAATGCTTTGACCTCTATGTGGTTATCTTTGTACTTTGGATTGTGCATAAGATATGTGACTTCCTTAAATATATGCATGTTTGCCGTTCCGTTCATTTAGTTACGTGTGGATGTTATTTGGACCATCCGATGAGTGTTACCTTTTTCTCACGAGTCACGGTCCATGTTTGGATGCCCATGTGATAAAAAGTAGATTCGATATGTACGTTGTAAAACCAATGTTCTAAGTAACGCGTTATGGCATGGCGTTGGTGCTGAGTTGACCTGTGGCAATAAGCTTCGTTGTAGCGCAAAGCGTGATTCTTTTTCGTTTTGTGTTCTTTTTGTATTTTATATTTGACATGGAGGTTATTATGTATGGCTGATTGCATGATCTCATTGAATGGAAAGACTTGAAAAGATGCTTGAATCCTTACTCCTGTATGCGATTATGATGTCAATTGGTATAAGGATTTGGTACTCCTTTTTCATGGTTCTATTTATTATGGTTTGGTATAAATTTAAACTGTTCTACACAGTGTTTTAACACTCTTGACATGTGTGCATATAAAATATGTATTTGCGGTCTTAGAAAATGATATCACCATCTCGTAAGGCTTAGAGCAGTGGTGGATCTAGAAAATTAATGGGGGTAGGGGGCATGTTGGATGGGACTTTGGGAGGGAAGCATATGAGACTGGAGGGAAACCATATAAAACAGGGTAAAAATAGAAAATTTAAGCTAGTCATCAAAGGCGTTTGGTTTTTGACCGGGGACTTTCCCCATGCTTATAGGCTGGATCCGCATCTTTAATGCAAGGTTAAAACCACTTTCTTCAAGTTTTTATACACCCTCGATTTTTTATCATTAAATTTTGATGTGAAGTTACAAAAATATTAGTTTTTTATATACCGACTTAATAATTATTATCGGTATTGAAAAAATACATTAAACTCACAAAATGGATTCTTATAAGACCTTCCATTTTTAAAGTTTTATGTAGGTTCTTAATTTGTAAGTTGGAAATGATGTGACAAACAAAAGTATAAAAAATTGGTTCTTATAAGAATTTGGGGAGTGTTTGATTAGAGGAATTAAGTAGTAATCAATGACAATAAAAATAAAAGAAATTGTTTGGTTTTATATAATATAATGGACTCATTTACCTATAATTCCAAATTTTCATTTCAAGTTAAACTGGATGAATAATAATTCATTTCCATTTTCAATCATCTGTCCGAACCAAACATCATTTTTGATTGGTTGATGTTATTGTCATGTTACATCTCGCAATTATCTAGAATCTTGCGTAGAATATTTCATTCCACATGTGTGGTTTGAATTACTGATATTAGAAATGTATCGATCAATTTGTTTTCAAAATAGAAAGTTACATTCATCTTTAATAAGACTCGCAATTTATTTGATCAGCTATATATGATTGTTTAAAATCTTCTCAATTTGTACAAATAGATTAATCTACACATACTGCTTTATATATGCATAACTTAATGGATAACAACCAAACAGCTCCTAATTCGTTATATCTGAACAAGCTATAAAAAAGAGAGCAAAGGAACTTTCAAACCAACAACAAAATAGTCCCAGTAAAATCAGCCTTCATGTCTATATACATCACACAAACTATCCTACAAAGTAGAACACAATTTGGAGAATATGGCAAACAATTTTCTACAGACACAAATGCACAAGTACCGTTTTACGATCATCACATATGACATCTACTCGCACGCAAGTTTTGTTCCAAAACTCGTGAGACAAATCGCAAAAGCATGAAAAGCCGACAACGGCTGTCTGTAATCCATCGTGAACACGTCGTCACCAACTTTTCCAAATTGAAGCAGTACGGTCTCACCGTCACCTCTCCCGCCTGGCTGACTCGGGTCCATTGTCGCCACCAACTGAAAATTCTTCACCGATGCTACGGTCACACGTCCGTGAAAATTCAAACACCAGCATTGCAACTGATCATGCCACCTTGGGGCTTTGTTTCTTAATAGAGTCTGACCAGCAACAGCTGTAGTAGCAACGGATTTTGATTTTGATAATTTGGGTTCGGGTTGAGGTTCAGGGTGTTCGTTTGACGATGTGCATTTTAAAGAAGATACCATTCTTCTTGGACCTCTAGATTTCAAGAGGTTGAACTTGTACGACACTTCTCCGATCTCGAAATTGCCTGCAGGAACTTGGGGGCTTATTTGCTTGCTTGTAAAACGTCGTCCAGCCCTGCTGCTTGAGTGCTTTGCCCCATTGTGTGGAGGCTGGCTGTCGTAAATTGTAAACTTGGTGCCAAGAAAATCCGAGCTGTAGATTTCATGTTAGAAGCAAAAGTCAAGAGTCGGATCATAACAAGAAAAACAAGCACCAAACAGAAAAAGAGAGAGATAACAAAGAACATAATCAAATTTCTGGCACGATAAATGAACCTTTTTCAATGAAGGGTTGAGTTTCGGTGAGAATGGAAGTTATGATGAGAAGGGTAAGAAGGAATCTCCACCATTTGATCAATCCTAAATGAAAATCAACACTAATGCGATGCACCAAGATGCACCGGATCAATTCCCGTGATAAGTTCATGGGGGTGGGGGTGAGATTAAAAGGGATCAAGGGTACATATCCCTTCTCACCCTAACTCCTATTCTCACATGATCTCACCATCTCTCCATTTATAGTTAAAATAAACCAAACCAGTAAATCTCACTCAAAAGTAGGGTCTGAGGAATGATATCTATCTCAATAAGTAGATTGGTTGTTTCCATGTAATTAAACGGGATGGGACACAGACTTCCGAATTCCTCATCCCAGTACTACTCTTGCCCAAACACACTCATCAGCGGAGTTCTGATGGGATACGATACAGAGATACAAAATATTTTTCTCTATTGGTTCATGTGGTCATGCCTCAACTTGGTAAAAAGGTTTGAACATTAAAGATGGAGACATGTGGTATCATATATCTATCAGCTTAGCAAGACATCGAGCTCAATTTTTATTTGCTTACATTCATGGCATATAGAGGTTGTTTCTCTAAAAGTGAAAGCAAATAATCTCAATTACACAAACTGTGACAAGAATGAGAGCTTACAATACTAATCAACAAACAAATCCCAATTATTTCATTCAAGTCCAACACGACAATGGTGAATGGAGACACCCCCTTCAGAGAGCCAGACGAGGGGAGATCCTCACATCCAAATCAGAGAGCAGGGATTTGCAATTTTACTTGGTTCCACTCGATTTCTGGAAAGTGGCAGACCTGACCTGACCCATTTTGTAGCCTGATTATACAAGGATTGGTTGCAAACCAGATGTTTTCTTTTCCTGATAGGGCACTTATTACTTGTGATTGTTGTTTTTCTCCGTGTTGAGGGGAGGGGTTGTAACTAGAGCCCATATGAGATGAATCAGAAGTTAACGTTAAAATGCTGAATCATAAGTTAAGTGGCTGACACAAATGAGATATTCCATTATCGATTTACCGTTGCATGCAAATGAAAAACTATAGTAGTAAACCACGTTTCCAACGCAAATAACACATCCTCCAAAGAGAGTTATACTACACTAGGTATAATTACTAGCAATTAAAAAACGAGCCACAACATGATGAATGTCTCTCACCAACAAATGCCTTACCTCAATTTACCAACGTAAGCATTGCTTCCTTGAGATAAATCTTCCGGATCAAGAGAGATTGTGTATTCTGTATGAGCACCATGTCTATATCTGCGTGCCGCCAAGAGAAACTTTCCCTTCTCTATAAATGCTGCCAAAAATAGAATCCAAATATGAACACTTCAATCATGGTAAAGTTGAAAATTGCTAAAATTATCACCACCATTGATTTTTCAGAGTAACAGGCACATCTTATCACAATGTCACTCGCCATTGGCATGCAACTTCAATTAACAAACCTTGCATACTTCCTGTGATGGACAAAACGAGTGGCATACCTCTGACTGTATATAATGGCATGTTTTCTTGGTCATCCGGTAAATATAGATTTATTGTAGGGTTCAATAGTTCATAAAGTGAATAACATATTTCCGAACTTGGAACTTTAATGCACAGACATGCAGGGTCAAACAAGGAAACGCAATGTATAGACTTGTATATTTGTGTCCATGAAAGAAAAAAAGGGCTTGAATACCACCTGGCAATCTATGACACGACTTTTTATTGTCATTTAGCAACTTCAATGTTATTATTTAGTACGCTAATAAGAAAGCCAATTTCCCCCAATTTCCCATATCAAGTGGAAAAATACACCAAAATCTTCTCATTTAAGTGGTCTGTCTCATGTCAAGTTAGCATTCATATATAAGAGAGAACAAATTCAAATGTTTTATTCTAAAAGCAAAGTAGCAAGGGAGCACATGGAGAAAACCAAAGCGTATCCCCTACAAAAACCAAAAATCAATTTCAAAAGAAGCGTAATGAACACCCATATAAATAAGTATTTTGTGGTAAAAGTGTTGGTTTCAACAGGAAACTAGCAAAGGAGATTAATGAATTGAGGCAAAAACGTAAGGCCAGGCATGCTAACTCAATATTCTCCACGTATCTTTTAGTCACTAAGTATGCTTCTCTACCTATTCATTCCGTCCTTCCATGTATTTCAAAACACTAGGAGTGGAACTCGATGTTATTCCTGTAATGTTGACATCAAAGTTGAGTTTATGACCAAAGGGAAATGACGAGAGAGAACATGCTGTTAGAAGGATAATACAAAATCGCAGTCCCCTGAAAAGGTCTCCCTCCTCTCTCTGTCTACGCACATATACATATACACGAACACAAACACAAACACAAACACAAACACAAACACAAATACAAACACAAACACAAATGTATGAATACTTGTATCACACACACACACACACACACATATTCTCATATGTGCATATATAGAGACTATGAAGATGGCTATTGTCCTGGTTTCAGTGATTAAGATCCTCGTTCTTTGGCAATATGGTCTTAATCAATAGCTATGTGCCCTTATCAAAATTTGTCAAAAATATATCTATTAAAGGCCACTTTTCCTGACATTCAGTTTTCCCAACTCTCTTCTACAGGATCATCTTATTTTGCGTTTTTACCATAACCAGATATTAGCTATTCGATGAAATCTTGTTGAGATTCCCTCTCTTCCTAAGATGTGGACAACAATAAATCTCTAAGTTGACAAGCGGATACCATCTTAAGATTTGTCGGTTTGTATGAAGTGGGCATTATAGTTGTTCCCTTTCATTTCACAACACAAGCATACCAGGAAAAACGTTCTATGTGGCATTCTGGGATGTATTGTCACACATATGGAACCAAAAGCATGATACAAGCAAACTACCTTTGAGTTCTAATCCTATGTATCTCATGTGATTACTTGACTCTAGTACCAAAGTGTACACCATTGTCTCACCTTCTTGTGCCTCTAGATTGTACACATCAACCACAAAGAGATTTAAGCATGATTTGTACTTACATGAGCTAGCAGCAAGATAAAGGTAAAACATCGAGTTTTTCTTGTTTCGCTTTATAAGGCATTGAAGTGGAGTATCCCGTGGACCAGGCTGCATCATAACCAAAAAAACTTGTTAGGCAATCAGGAATAACAAGACCACAGGCTTGAACATTCATCTAGACTGCTGATGAATATCGACTATAACATAAGAACATACAAAGCACATGTATCAGTATACGCTTTTCAAATTCTCCCAGACTCCTGATCTAGGGCGTCAAGGTAAAACATATAAGATAAAAAGAATTGCCATTTGAGACGTAAAATTTAGTCGTCTTCTCATCAGTATCATAAATTATTAATCATTTAGAAGTTACTAGATAATTCTTGCAAAACCTCATCCCTTGAGGCTCACAGTTTTCTGTAGAACCTTCTAAACTTGATTATTCCAATGGAAATATTTATCAGTACCAATATGCGGAAACTAAAATCAAGCAAACGGGCCATAGATTTCCAGGTCCCGCCAACATACAAACACACATGTGTCCGTGAGCAATACGATTTGAAGAAATTTGACTTCATAAGAATTGACTCCAACTACTTAATTAGCTGTGACGCATCTAAAACTTTAGCACAACCAAAATCCTAGGTGCGAACAACAATGAAAGCATGATAAAACGAACGGAAATACACAAACGGTCATCATCTACTCAATTACAGAAATAAAGAGCCAATATAATTCCAAAACACAATAAAATCACATCAAATCGGACCTGTTTAAGGCAAGAAGGGAAAGTAATATTCCCACCGTGAACCGGAGGTTTAACTATCTCTTTGACAACCTCCCTCCACTTTTTACACACACATCCACAAGCGACGACGCTTTGCCGAAACGGCCATCGGTCCTCGCTCGCTTCCACTCGCTTGATTATCTCGCCTATGAGCTCCGGTAACATATTAGACCACGAATCTCCTCCATTCCTGTTGCCGTCCGGTTCAGTGAAGACGTCTTCGTTTCCATTAACAACAACATCATCACCACCGGAAATTTCATGCGATTTGAATTGTGCATTATCTATGGCTATGAATTCCTTGAGCGATTTGGATCGACTGTTGATTCGTCGAGATAAGAATGATCTTCGTAGCGACATCGGTTGAGAGAGAGAGATGAGGAGGAAAGGGGGAAGAGAATGGTGTGGCAAAATCAATTGAGAAAAATGAGAGTTGTAGGGGAGACTGTTAACTTGACGCGTCTGTCAGTTGATCAAAGTTGACAGACTTACTATTTCTGGCATCTAAAAATTTCTTAAAAAATAATTATTTATAAGAAAAAATAATTATTTATTTATTAATGAGATTTAATTTAAATATTTAGGAGACATAAATAGATTTCATGAGTTGTATTAAATATTTTAATTATATAATTAATTTTGTAGGGCTGGATTTCGATGAAAAATGAAAGTTATCGTGAGAAGCCTAAGGAGAAATCTACACCTTTAGATCAATCTTAATCGAATTTCAACACTAATAAGGTGCACTCCCTTCTAAAGTGCAATTCATGAATGAACATGAAATTAAAAGTGATCAAGAGTTCAGATTTCTTCTTATGCTTCTCATCTTATTTTTTTTTTCTCACACAATGTTTCACCTAATTTTGTAATCTTTAAAACAAAGAATCTGTTGGAGATGATCTGTTGTGAGAAGCGTAAGGAGAAATCTACACCTTTAGATCAATCTTAATTGAATTTCAACACTAGTAAGGTGCACTCCCTTCTAAAGCGCAATTCATGAATGGACATGAGATTAAAAGTGATCAAAAGTTCAGATCTCTTTTTATGCTTCTCATCTTAACTTTTTTTCTCACACAATGTTTCACCTAATTTTGTAATCTTTAAAACAAAGAATCTGTTGGAGATGATCTGTTGGAGATGATGGTAATTGTTTTTGAAGATTTTGACTTTTTAGTTCTATATTTTGGAGAATCTGTTAAAGATGCTCTTAACTCTTGCTATTTTCTTCATACGTCCCAAAATAAAATAGATGTATGTATTACTATTTTAATTTGTTCTAAAATAAATATTATTTTTTAAAAATAAGGAGCGTTTACCACACGTTTGTCATGATAAGCGCACACCGGTTCAAAAGTAAGTGAGAGCGATGACTCTTGCCCACTAACCACTTACTCAGCAAATATTTGGTAAAATGACCTCTAAGGTCTACTTTTCCATTCTAACCTTAATTTATAAGATGGAAAAAAAATTATTTATTTATAAATAAGGGTAAAATTGTCTCTTTGTTAATTTAAAATTGTATGTCTTTTTTATTGTGGACATTTACTTTGGGACAAGAGAGAGTACTTCCAACAAATTCATTATAACCCATTTGTGCATTTTGTTATATGCACCCATATATAAATCAAGGGTATATTTCAAATGCAACCATGTTCATTTATACAACCAATGCAACCTAATCAATTGAGATATTTATGGAAATAATGAGAGTTCATTTATTATGATTTGAATATTTATGAAAGATGACTAGAGTACATTAATTATGATCAATACTTTGTATCAAAAAACAATCAAAACTTTTATGAAATTACATATTCATCAAATTAAATGGACGATTGATAATGAGTTGTATTGGTTGTACAAATGTAAAGGACTGCATAATGACTCACCTCTATAAATCAAATTCAAGTTAAATTGTATATTAAAATTTTACTCCCGATGTTGATGTCTTGTGAGAAAGACATTAACATGTAGGAGTGTATTTAAAGCATCTTCAACAGATTCTCCAATTTTCAGAACTAAAAATCTTCAAAAAAAAGTTACATTCATTTTGAACAGATTCTTTATTTTGGAAATCACCTGATTACTGATTAAGAAGCCTCTATCAGATAGATAAAAGATGGAATTCTTATTTTCGTGAAATTAAGCAAATAAAAAAAATATATTATCTTCTCATCATATATAATTAAAATCTACAAAATTTAGAATTTTATTTATCTTTCTATATCTTACGATAATCCTATTTTGACTAAGGGACCGTTTACCAAATGCTTACTCGGGTAAACGCTTACCAAGTCACATTCCTTTACCGGATGAATATAAAAAGGACCAAGAATCTTACCTGGTAAGAGCGAAGGCAAGGACCGAGAGTCTTACCTGGTAAGTGATGACGACGACTCTTACTACGGTTAGCGCTTACCGGTAAGTTGTTACATATGATGTCGTTTTGGTTAACTAAAATTCATCCGTTAAAGTAAGCAATAGAGTTGAATTTTACCGTTAAACACTTACCGAGTAAGTATTTAGGTAAACGGCCCTTAAGAAGCCCTACTCTCGTTAGATGAGATTCTAACAAACCCTTCAATTAGTTAATTTTTAAGAATATTATTAATTTTTAAGAATATAATGAATCGTTAATTATATATTTTTTTAATAAATAAGCAATCGACATTTTAGAAATTGGTTAAATACATTCTTTTAACTAAAAAACCAACAGTAACCGATTAGAAGTTCTAAAGGTAAAAAAACATAAATTAGTTTTACCATTTACAAATTTTTACAAGTGGCAAATTACATGAAAAAGTAACGTACTTTAATTTAATTCTTATTTTAGATAACGTACTTTCAAAACTTTTATTTTAGTACCTAAGATGTAAAGTTTTAAATATTTAAATACCCGAATAATAGGTTGAAGCATTAACCGGTTATAATGTTGATGTGACGAGTGATATGGTATTCAGTTAATGTTTCAGCAAACAATACTGAATTAAATACCACATCACTCGTCACATCAACATGACAAAGATAGACTTTTTTAGCACAACTGCTAACACAGAATTAACCGATGCTTATTATGAATAATATATAAAAATATCAACTCTTGTTTTTCAACTGCTCAAATTTTTAATGAAAATATTATAGTAATAAGTGGAATTATGAAAGTCGTCGCCAACTATTCCTCACCTTTTAAGGATCCTTTCGCTTTCTTGTTAATTTTGACTAATTCATAACAATTAATCATCTGACGTTGTTTAAGTGGAATTTGGAAAGCATCATAGGTCAAGGGGAAAATGACAAAGTCAGCTACATTTAACCATTGTTTTTTTAATTTAAACCAAAAGGATGCTGAGATATATCTCAATTTTAATGTTTTATTTTATTATTTATTTATTTATGTTACAATATAATGTTATGTGGTTTTAAGAAAGCGACATTATTTTTATTTTTGAATAAAACATAAATTTGAAGATATTATAAAATTTTGAAATACACACACATATATATTTAGTATCAAATTAATTATTTAAAAGTTATCGTTTTTTCTGTAATTTCTTTAATTCAAATTTTTTATTATAAAATATTCACGAGCACGCTTTAACTGATTCAAGTGAACTGTAGTTTACAGTCTGAATAAGAGCAAAATGTAACAAAGTCGTTTCATAGCTTTCTTGTAAAGCTTTTATAGAAGGGTATCGTTGCCATCAAAATAGAAAATTGTAATACGTTCGGGGTATAACGACAGACCGAGAGGCTCGGCTAGAAAGAATAGGCAGATGAATAGAGGCATAAGTTGAGCTACAAGAAAAATTCCCGCTGCTACCAACTGGTCCCACACGGAACCCGCCTGGTAATTTACTTTCGCCACCTGAAGATTTACCTGCGATTTTCAGACTAATCATGATTTGCTTATAAGATTACCGAATATGCATAATCTGGTTCAGATACCCATGATTAAAAAAACACATATAAATGGTTTGATTTCTTCTTCTTGTTTTTTTGGTTTCCTCTCGATCCTACCAAACACTCCGGAGCCGTTTACTAAACGCTTATCCGAGTAAACACTTACCAAGTCATATTACCTTATTGGATACATATGACAAGAACCAAAAATCTTACCGGTAAGAGCGATGACAAGGACCGAGAGTCTTACCCGATAAGTGAGGAGTGACAACTCTTACCACGGTTAGTGTTTATTGGGTAAATTGTTGCGTAGGATACCGTTTTCGTGAACTAAAATTTTACCAGATAATTAAGTGATAATGTTAATTTTTGCTTGTTAGCATTTATACGGGTAAGCGTTACGTAAACGGCCCCTCCCTTAATATCAGAAACTTGATTGTTACGAAATAATTAAATTTATAAAAAAAAATATTTAAAATAATTTAAAAATGATTTTTAATAAATTAGTGGTGTAAGTAGCTTTTGACAGCCAGGTGAAGTTAGTGGTGGCGATGTAGCGTTAGTGGTTTAGCAGTCCAACTGCTTTGACCGGTAACAAACCACGAGACCAATTAATATAAATTCCAATTTTGCTCCCTTTATTTTACATTATTTCCACATTTCACCCCTTAACTATCAAAGTTATACACTTCCAAACCGCTTTTTTTACTTGTTTGAGTAAAATACAAATTTGGTCCTCGTGGTTTATCAAAAATAACACTCTTCATTTCTGCATTTTCAAAATTATAAGCTAACCATCACACGATTCAGGTTTGGTCTCTTCATTTGATGGCCATTAAAAAAATCCGTTAAATGAAGAGCATTTTCATTCCCTTATCGATTTTTTTGTCTTTTATCCAATCAAAACTACAACAATCAAAATCATAAAACTGATTTTGATAGGAGAAAGAACAAAAAGTCGATAAAAGAATGAAAATGACCCTAATCCAACAGAACCCTCTAACGACCGTTAGAGAGAGTGATTAAATCCGGACTTTTTTACAAATCACGATGACCATTTTGTAATTTCAAAACTACAGAGACGAAAAATGTTATTTTTAACAAACCACATAGACTAAATTTGTAGTTTATTCTACTTGTTTACATCCCCCTATTGTTAAGCCTCAAAGTTTTTCTAACATGAATATTCTCTATAATTTGTATGTTTGTGTAAATGCATTTTTTTTCACACTTTGTACTTGAAATAAAAAATAAAAACTATAGAAGGTGGTAGGTGTAATAATGTAAATAGTTAAGGGGTTAAAGTGAAACTAGTTTGCAAACAAAAAGTCACTATCTTGACCAAGTCAAACATGGCAGGTTTTCGCGTTCACGGGTTGACGTTAAGTTTGGGTAGTTCAATTATATTAATTTTTATGTACAATTTTTCTAGTGTAGTTATATGTCAATTGTTTCAAATATCTAGACACAAAATTTCCATTTTTATAAATTTATATACGATAAATACAACACATAAACTTATACATCCTCTTCATCTTTTATGAGGTTAGATTCCTTTATCTCTATGTTTTCACATCGAGAATTATTATTATTTTTTTTTTTTGTAAGGGTGTCCAGGCCAAAGCCCGACTAATCCCCGGCAAATTTGGAGGCTAAACATAGCCCCACTTAAATGTCGCCAACACTCCCCTCCCAGGGCTCGAACTCGGATTCATGACTATGCCATGCTCAAGCCTTTACCACTAGGCTGGAAGGTATTTGACATCGAGAATTATTTACAGATGAAGAGATGACAAATGCCCAACCCAACAATACCGTTTGGGGAACGTCCAGTGCCATCACTGAATGGGTAAGTCACCAATCCTTAAAACAGACTACGATACCGCTAGATCAAAGGCCCTTTAGTAAAATAAATAAAAAATACACTTTTGGTCTATATGATTCATATAAAACTATGATCAATTAATAGTGGATAAACTTTAATAATAAAGACGGAATTCAAGTGTATAATATTTTGGGGGTCAAAAGTGTATATACTTGTAATATAAAAAGGGTTAACATAGAAAGACATCAAGATATTGTTACAGTATAACATAGAGGTGGCAAAACCGACTTCAAAATATTTGGACCAATAATTGATTGCTACTCCTACTTAATTGCATCATGGTTCGGTCTTTAGTCTTTATCTGATCCAATAGGTTCGGTCCAAATGAACACCTCCATTAGAGATGATCAAATGGGCCCGACTTGGGATCGACAGATAATAGGGACCGATTTAGAATCGGCCCAGCTCAGGAGTAACTGAGACCGGCGGTCCAGGACAAATTACAGTTTTCATCAAAAAAGGCCTAACCCGACCTTGGACCAGTTATGGGCCCAGCCCGAGAGCGACTCAATTTTTCAAAAATATTATTGTTTTATAAACAATACCCAACAGTCATATGACTCTTTTTTTTCTTCTTCTCATTTTGACCTTTTTTTGTCCCATTTACCCTATACATATGTCATATGGTGTATAAATAAGGATACCAGATCACAAACGTTCACTATATATAAGTCAAGTGTGTTTAATTGAACTAATTACATATTTTCAAGTGTATTAGAATAACTCTTTTGTATTTTTTTTTAAAAATTCATAAATAATAATGTAAAAATTGAATTTAAAAAAAAAAATACAAAGGACTGGTTTTGACCCGGCCTAGACTGGTTCTCATAACCGGTTAAAAAGTACCTTAACCAGGCCTTAAGTTTTTGGTCGAGACCAGGACTGGTTACACCAGGACCAATTTTTGGCCATCTCTAACCTCCATGTGTTTGTATATGTATACATAGAGAGAGGGAAGTTCTATCAAGAACCCAACATTGATTAGGAACCCAAAACCGCCGACAACACACGTCCTTCAAGATGATAATTCATCATGAATAGCACATTCATGATGAATATGGAAGTGTTATTTAATATGAATCACTCATTCACGAAGAATAATTCATCATGAATCACATATTCATAATGAATAACACATTCATATTCCTGATGAATATGCCATGTATCACGTTCTGTACAATTTCTCAGTTCCTAATCAATTTTAGGTTCCATTATATTGAGGAAAGTTCCATCAAGAACCAAATATGGCATTAAAGTTGCATATTTTAGTAGTTACATCTAAATTACAAATTAACAATGTGAAATTAAATCAAGATGAGAACTTTACCTTCTATCCTCGCGATCTATCCATCAGCACTTTTTTTAATCGGCTGAATCGCAACAGTCTTTAACCATATAGCAGCCATCTTTTATTCATTTACCTTTCTACCCTTGCATCAACTACATTAGCCACATAAATTCTCACTAAGGCCTCAACTTTCGGTTTTCGATTGTGATGACGGTGTTCGATAGCAGCTAAATCGATCGAGCAATGAGATATCTTCACTCGATAACGCTAGTGCACCGTTACTCAAGTAGTTTCGAGCAACTCTCTTTCTGCAAAAAAAAATATCACATGAAAATGCCGAACGATCAAATAAAATATATTGTTAAGATAGCAGGTTTTTTTATACCGTCTTTGGGTTGATTTGTTAACAGCTTCTGATAAACGGGAAGATTCTGATCTAGAAATCTGGGCCAGTGACGAAAGGTATTCATGGAATATGTAACCTTTCAATGATAATTGTGATCGTAAAGGAACAATGGAGTGAACGGTATTGCAGAGTGGCGACTCTAGCATGCTGCATATTCGGAAAAAGGTTGGTTTGATCAGCAGCAGCACGTCCGGAAAACAAGTCAAACAACGGAATAGGAGGAAGGTTTAACCATAAATTTTTAAGAACTTGTGAGAACCAATATATGTATTGAGACTTGGGTTCAGAGGAAAACCACACAAAATTGGAAAACCAATAAACACCCTACCAATCCTTCATTTGTCCGGTATACACATCTGTATAAAAAGTAATTCAAAATGTTACTTGGTTTCTATGCGCAGTGTGCATACTGGACAAATCACTATTTTGCACATGTGCATACCGGACAAATAAATGGTTATTAAGGGGTTACCTCAGTTTTCCATTTTTTGTGGTTTTCCCTTAAAACCAACCCTCAATACACACTATATGAGGGAGGTTCAGGGGAAAACCCCCAAAAAAAGAAAAAAAATAGCACCCTGCTAACAATTCATCTTAGACGATATATACACATGCATACAAATAACTGAAGTTGTTTTATGCACATGTTCATGTTAAAGCATATGTGCATACCGGACAAATTGCTTACAAATTACTTGTATGCATAGGTGAATACCGTCCAAATCAATGGTTACCAGGGTGTTCCTTAATTTTTCATTTTCCTGCGGTTTTCCCGGAACCTGACCATGTGAATTTTAGCAAGTATATGCACCAATACATATATAGTACATATACATTGATGAATATACCAACTGACATATACATATTTTGATAGTTTAATAATGTGTAATTATCGCACTATTTAATCAAGTAAATGATAACTTTACCCTTGATATTGGAGATAATAATTGATTTCTCCATCTCATAATTAAGGATAGAATCAGAAAGTTGGTATATACTTTTGAAAATGGGCGCTCATTTTGGGACAGAGGGAGTAATACCTTTTCAAGGAGACTCCATTTTGCAACGTTTTCTTTCCATTACTCTTAACGGTTGTGTTGTTTCGGTTGTTGATCAGTTTTCCCAAAGAAATAGCACTAGTTGATGCTGCCAGCATCTCCGAGGCCAAATCCATTCCAGCACTTGATCCTGCAGCAACACTTCTTTTTGCGTATAAGCAAAATCCATGCTGAGCGATTGTCGACGCCATTTGCAGTTGGTCATCATGCCATCTGAACGAATGTGATTCCTCAGTTAAAACCATTGACGGTTTTACATAATCCTGTAAAGAGAAAAACTCAACCATCAGATATGGCATAAGCCAAACCAAATAAACTCCGTAAATCTCATGCAGATGGCATATAGTCAGCAAGGGGGAGGTTCATTTAGGGGCTGTTTGGTTGGTTTTTCATTAAGTCTTGTATGGATAAAGCTATATATGTGGATTAATCTCTCTGTATAGATTGAGAAGGTTTTTGTTTGGGAAAGATTTTTTTCATAGATGAAAAGAGCCTGCTTTTTAATTGGGAAGGACATGTTTGAATTTTTTTTGGCTTTCTGCATAAAGCTCCCTCCTAAAAGCTTACTGAATAAGCCATTTTCTATATCATTAAGTCACTATCAAGCGATCATGTATAGCTGACCGAATAAGTTACGAATCCCGTTAAACTTGTTAAGCTACTAACAAACAGGCCCTTGGGAACCTTAAATATTTTAGGAGCGCAAGAACCACGTAGTCACGACATTCATCGTGAATATTTCTTATCTCGTTTATTCATCATTAATACTCACAAAAAGGGTGGTTCCTAGGTTCCCAAGATATTTAAGGTTCCTAAATAAACCTCCCTCTAGTAAGCAATTTAACAAATAACAGTACAAGGGTGAAGTTGTCATTTCAAAAATGCAAAATATATACTTACACATGTTAACGACTGGCAATCGGCGAGTAATAAATCAGCTTCCGAGATTAGATTAGTCATTCCATAAGAAATCCCTAAAGCCTCCAAAGTGTCCTTTTCCTCAACGGAGACATATTGTCGTAATTCATTCTCGCAATTCCGAAGTTTTCTCCAAGTTTCTTGTACAAGGTCCATCGAAGCCACAGGCTTTTGCCTATGAATGGACTCCGCTTTCTTATTGAAGTCTATTCGGCTACATTCATCCATCATTTGATATTCTCTCGGAAGATTATCCACGGGTTCAATGTGAGAATCTCCGATTTCTTCTCCATGAACCGGTACTGTATCTAAACCCGAATCTGTTTTATCTTCTTCACGATAATAACAAAGGTTACTGAACTCCACCGGTACAATTCTTGGTAAGCAATCAGCGCTTGTGGGTCCCTCTTCTATTCCACCATCGACACGCCCACTGGAACACATTGTAGAGCACATCATCATTCCATTCTCGATTTCTGTTTCGGGAACATAAGAAGATTCAGGAACACATGATACATCTCCAGACTTGCATATATCGTTAATCTTGGAATAATATGGTATTTCGGATGGATGACAAGTTTCCTCCAATTTCTCCGCTTCAGAAAGAGGCTGCTCGTTTTCCATCTGGAAGAACTTCTCATCTTCATTTACCTCCACATTTTTAACACGTAAACCTTCATCAAACCGCTCTTCTTCTGAATCCGAAGATAACACTGAGTTATATTTTCTCCTCAGCCTTTTTGTATCAACAAGCACTTCTTCGTTTACATCCTCGATTACATTCAGTAATCCGTCATTCAAGCACTCTTCTGAATCCGTATTCATTATTGGATCATATTTCTTCTGAAGAGTTCTTCGCATGAATGCAACTGGGGAGCTTGAGCAACTAGGAAGCTCGTTAATGGTGGTGCACCGAGCTGCAAAATCATTTCCGTCTTGATCGGAGCAGTGCCTGCGTAGCATCTCATCCTTTTTGGCCTCGATACTGTGTTTTCTTTCGATTTCGATCATTGAATCGTTATTGTTTTCCTCTTCTTCGTCAATCGTCTCCATCGAGCTAGCATCTTTTGCTACCAAAAAAGTTGATTTCATGATCTCCTTCTCGATCATTTCCGACAGCTTGGAAGTGTAACCACATGGGATCAATTGTGGTAGAACTTGATGCCCGGCATCAATATCGAACAGCAGCGGACCATATATATTCCGCACTTCGCTATCTAGATGATCACAAGATCGTGATTTTCAGAAATATTCTGAACATAATGTCCATTTACCCTGCTATGTTACTCCCTCTGTCCCAAAATAGATGTTAACATTTCTATTTAAGTTTGTCCCAAAATAAGCGTCCACAGAGGTGGACATATGAATTTTTTTGAGTGGTGGCACCATTTGACTATAAAAAATGAAACTATGGGTATTTTTCAAAATACCATCATTGGCATGACGGGTTAGTTCCTTCCTTTTCGTATGTGATGTCCTGTGTTCGAATCTTTTATCGATTTTTTTTTCAGAAACATAATGAACCTAAAATTAACAGCAAAAAATTAAGAAAATGATTGAAACCGGATTCGAACCCAGTCAACCCACACCTGGGATGGGAGAAAAGGCGTTAAAACCAACTCTGTCAAGACAAACTTGTATTATTGTTGTAGTTTCAAAGTATATACGGTGGCACCCAACATTATAATATGGTGGCACCTTTCACGACCTTAATTCTTTTTTATCTTACGACGGAGGAACGAGCGGTAGCCTATGCCACCGTATCTTATACATTGGGTCCGCCCCTAGGTGTCCACTTTCAAAAATAGGTGGTTATAGTTTTTTTAATTTCTAGTTCTACCCTTATTTAAGAGTTGGTGTGGTGGAGAGAGAGAGAGGATGTTTGCCTCTATCATTAAGTTGAAAATGTCATTCAGTTAATTAAAAAATGTAATAATTACACATTTCTTAAACGGCGTGCTTTTTTGTTGTGGACACTTGGGTGCAGTTTGGTTGGTTTTCCATTAAGCTTTGTATGGATAAATCTGTCTGTATAGATTGAGAAAGTTTTTGCTTGGTGAGGTTTTTTCATAGATGGAAGCCCGTTTTTTAATTGAGAAAAAAACTTGGTTTTCTACATAAAGCTCCCCTTAGTAGCTTATTGAATAAGGCCTTTTCTATATCATAAAGCCATTACCAAGCAAACAATCCTGTATAGTTGACCAAATAAGTTGCGAGTCCTATTAAGCTCGTTAGCTACTAACAAACAGGCCCTTATTTTGGGATGGAGGGAGTACTTAAAAAGAAAAACAACAAGTATCCTATATAATGCACAAAGGTACATGATGTTGTAGACTAACCTTTTCTCTGATTTTGACCTTGGCACCAAAACTGGAGAAACGTAATGGTTTTACGAATATCACTTTGGCAATGGTCAATAAATCGCTCGACCAAACAAGGCTCAATTTCTGCTTTTTCGGCAGCGCAAACCTAACAAAGTAACTACATATTAAATAAAACTCACAATGGTAATATAAAAGAATTTGAGATAAATAAATGTCCATCACGACTATATACCAAAGATGCAAGGCTGAGAAGCTCCTCTGATGACGGTATTCTAAAGCTAACCTCTAATCTATCTAAGTTAGTTGGTAAATCAGGATCATCACCTATTAAACAAAATCAAGATAAAGGCGATTAGCATCTGCAACTATGTTGATAAGAAGCATAGGGTCAAGTTCAAGGGGAAACCCGCAAAAAAATAAAAAACCGAGGGAACACCCTTGTAACCATTCATCTGGATGGTATACACATGTGCATACAAGTAATTTGTAAGCAATTTGTCCCGTATTCACATGTGGATAACATGCACACGTGCATAAAAACCAAGAAACAACTTCAAGTACTTGTATGCACATGTGCAAACCATCCAGATAAATAGTTACTAGGGTGTTCCTCAGTTTTTCATTTTTTTGGGGGGGGTCCCCATAACCTCCCTCAAGAAGCATAAATATATTGATAGATAAGCCTCTTACTGTTGCTAGTTAATATCATTGGCCGCTTTGCCGTCTCTGCAAGCTGTTGTATAGTAGCAATGAAACCACGGTCTTCATATAGAGTTGCATCGACATCCTCAAAAAGAATTAAGGTTTTGGTTCCATTTTGAGAACAAGAAACTTTGTTTTCCTTGTCGATTGATTTCACAACTGTCCCGCCAACATTTACTGAATCCTCCTCATCTGATAAGGGTATCAATTCAATAACATCATTGGTAGACCTTTGGACAGCTTTGGATGACTTCAATTGATCTTTGTTATCTGGGTTTTCAATATTGGGCATAGAACTGGAAAAATATACCAAGATCCAAACACAAAGTGTGATTAACCAATAACAGGAGAAAAAGAATGCCTAATATTATTAACATTCAGATGCCTTAATGTGGGTCACTCTAGAATGTATAAAACTAGCACATGGGCTGTCATCACTCTAGAATGTATTAACTCATGAGTATGTAAATTTATCTTAGGTTATATGAGAAATTTCTAAATGCAACCATTCATGATGAAAGCAAACCAAAATAATTACTAGGCGATATATATACAAACTTGTAGGATATATACGCAAAAAGGCTATCTCAAATTCAGTCAACAAAGATGGATATATTAATACGAGTACGAGAACCACATAAATATACTTTTAGGCTCGATATATTTAACTGATGCCCAACAAGATACCAAAAGGCTCTCTGTAACATCCCAGAACCATACCAGAGATTGTCCACGCCTAGACTCACACCTTTAAAACGCATCTCATAAAGTAGGTATCCAGTCCTTTCTAAGGCAACCTTAGTTCCCCTCCCCAACCAATGTGGGATCTTACAATCCACCCCCTTGGGGGTCAGCGTCCTCGCTGGCACACCAGTCTAGTTCCTAGATCTTAGCTCTGATACCATTTGTAACATCCCAGGCCAACCGTATTAGATAAGCGGATATTATCTAAAATGTCCACACCTAAACTCAAGGTTTTAAAACGCGTCTGGTTCCAGTCGCTTGTAAAACAACCTTAGTTTCCCTCCCCCAACCAATATGGTGGGATCTTACACTATCCTAAAAAATTCAAGCCACAACAAACCTGCAAGTGGGTTTTTGTTTTGAGGCATCAACTTTTAGGTTCCGAAATGATTCGTTAAGCATGCGTGTTATGATATGGTTAGGAAGGAAGCTTGCAAAGAAAGTTTTGACGAACCATTGAAGCCAATGTGATTCTACAGCTTCCCCAAATTTTTGCTTGACAAGTGCGCCATTTCTCCAATCTGATGTATTGACCTAGAAAGGCAACCAGTTCAAATATGTTCAAATGTCAATTCGTATGAACTTCCAAAAACCTCACCCATACACTTCAATTGAAGCATAAACATAAAATCAATGGCCTCATTATATATCACAACAATGAATAGATGAAAGCCAAATCAAACGGATAGTAGACTGACAACCGTACAGTTTCCTGTCAGACTCATATGGTTAGAGTTGGACCACCTCACAAGTGATCAGATCTGTCTTCATACAGATACAGAACATGAATGCTTGATCATTAACTACTATATTAGAAAATCAATTCCCTAAGGGGGCGTTTGGTTTGATGGAATGGTTTTGAGGGATTTGGATTTGGAAGGATTTGGAATCTTTGGTGTGTTTGGTTTGTAGGATTTGAAATGAAACTGAATTCCATTATTTATACATAATTTATAAAAACAAATTATAAATAATTATAAAAATTACTAAATTACCTTTTCATTAATTGATTATTACAAAACAAATGTTTTAAACATACTTTAAAACATTATTACACACAAATCCTACAAAATCCCATGAAATACCAACAAACCCCATTGGATTTTTAAATCCCCTGTTTTGTGGGATTTCAATGAAATCCTGGGGTTTCAAATCCAAGCAATCCATCAAACCAAACATAAGAATGGAATGGAATTGAATTCCAAATCCTTCCCAATCTTACAAGTCAAACAGGACAAGAGATAATCAGATATTAACTTACCTCAATAACTTGAAATCCTTGCTCTTTGGCACAGGCATAAATGGCTGCAGATTTTCCACTCTGCAACAAAAAAAAAACTCTTTGAACCATGGATAAATATTGAAAGATCTTTTGGCATGGACATAAATGAATACCATATATACCCTCATGTCTCAAAGTGGGGAAATATCACAGAGCTAATATAGCAACTCATGTTCAGATAACCAATTAGAGTGAAAGAAAGAAGATTCATACCCCAACTGGGCCTGTAACTAAAAGAACATTCTTTAGTGTACTTTCTTCATCGGTATACTGAGAAGCACTGTCACTTGGACAATAGTTAAGGTCAACATCTTGCATGATCCACTTATCAGTATCAGTAGAACATTTATTGGTTCTTGAACCTTTCTCATGCCATAAACGTAGCCACTCATTAAGAAACTTCACAGATTCATAGTTTCCACATATCTGCAGATCACATAAGAAAAGGAGGTCATATAACAATCACAGGAGAGAAACACCTTGTATTAAATGTCTACAAATACGGGTGCTCATGGGTTGGGTTGATCGGGTTGGAGGCATTTGAACAACCCAACCCAATGTTTGCGGTTTGCAAAATCTCAACCAAACTGTACGGGTTAGTCGGGTTGATACATTGGTACATCAAAATGTTCTCCTAACCTAGAATATGTTGTTTTGTCTACCCATAATTCCTTTTCCATCATCAATCATTTGGTACATCTTATCCGTACTTCTTAAATCTTAAGTATATCACATTCAACTACTTTTCTTAATTTGCATACATACCTTCACATTTACTAAACATATATCCGAAGGAGTTATTAGAGATGGATAAGAGATTGAAAATATATGTATATGAAGAGGGTATGTGATGGTGTAATTTTCTAATGTACATATTAATAGGGACTTAGCAATCATATTAAATCCAAGAAATAAAAGAATATGGAGTTCATCAGGTTGGGTTGGGTTCAGATGATCGTAACCCAATTCCAACCCAATACATACAATTTGAAGATTTTACAACTTGATTAGACATAAGGTTGTTTCGGGTTGGGCTATTTCACATTGGGTCGGGTTTTTGAGCACCCCGATCTACCGACTATTTCTCATGCTCACTTTATGTCTATTTCTCTTTCAAATAATCATTGACATGTGAACTTCCTATTCTACCTTTGTTAACTACTTTAATCATTGAACTTTGGAATAATCCATCAGAGAGAGAAAATTAATGTTTTTGTGGGCTAAGAGAGAGGAGAGACTAGAGAGAACAAAGAAAATTGAGTATTCACTAATTAGAGAGAAATATAAATTGTGAAGTGGAGAATATGTATAAACCCTAATAGGTCATATTGGAAAAAAAATGTCAATAAGGTTATTTTAAGAAACATGCTTTTTTAAAAGGTCAAAATGAACATGAGGCAAAGGTATAACGTTATGCCAATCAATAAACTAATCACTTGTTGCATTTGTACAAGGAAGTTCAGATATAAGATACTGGACCTCAACTGCCCTTTCAGGCTGGTACTTGGTTGTCCATAAGCTATTCTCAGGCTGATAGCTACAATCGTGATATTTTGATGCCATCCTGATAATGCAAGAGAAATTTTAAATCAGCTACTGTCTTCAAGACGCCAAGGTTAAATTTATTTACAAAAGGTATTCATAAACAAGTAAACGGAATGATGGATCACTCAAGCAACAACAATAAAAAATAAGGAATTAAGAGTTGTTCTGTTGTAAAGTTCTAAAGATTGTCTTCAATGAACTTTCATCAATGCATTATCAACTCCTGAGCATGAAAACTAGCTGCGGTTTGGGAAATGTTAGTATCATGATACCAACTCTACTATTATTAATTCAAAAAAGATATATTATTTAATTATGTTTAGTCTAGTAATGTATATAAAAGAATATTATTCAAAAAAGATATATTATGCTTACGGGACAAGATTATGTGTCAGACCCTTTATGGTGGAAGAATTGTGGCTGTGTTGGCATATGACGTAAGAATAATAATAAACTTAAGGAGATATGTAAAAGCAATGAAAGGGACAACAAATATAACTCTCGTTAACTAGATTTCATAAACACAACCTTCCAGGGTGCTCATTTCGTTTTATATGTGTTCTTTAAATCTAAGAGAATACATCAGTTTCCCGTTATTAACGGTCAAGAAACTGACATGGATGTCTTTAAAGTGACTTGAACTCACAACATAAGGCTTGTAGAGTCCACTGATACCATTGAGACAAAGGACACTTTGTCATCACTTTCCCAAGAAATTAATCAAGGATTATGTAAAGTGCTCTAACAATTCAACAAGGAGTCAAGGACGTATTCGATCATGCATATAGAAATTTTTAGTCAACATTTAAGAATTTGAAGTTGCAACAA